AAGTGGTGTGGTGTAGGGGAGTCATGTCCACTTGTTGTATTATCAATTAAAATAAAATGTTCAAAGTACCCTTTCCAAAAAATGAAGCTTAAATTCATTGACAAGGAAAAGGCTTTAAACCGATTAACCCAATCGGAGGGGGGGGGTGTCAACTTTACATGTGTATTTATTAGCGATTGCAATCGATTGCAGATTTGCTAATCGGTTAACTGCAAAACATTCCGACCTACATGTATTAACCAGTTAGTCGCATCAAGATATACATATTGACATTTTCTCTTCATATACACAAAAAGGCTAAAAAGACGCTAGAATTTACACTCTGTTTATTATTTTGATCGGGGAATTTAATGTACATAAGAGTTTATTCTATTTCAATTTCAATAGACAAGAAAAAATTAAGAAAACCATGAATCTTGCTTGAGAAATCAGAAAGGGATCATTTTTCAATGCAATTGTTAAAAGAAGTTAATTCTACGTTAATACCCTAATCGGAACTAGTCTATGTCTGAACTTTCAATTTATTTACAATTTACAACGTTCTTTATAATAACATAATTTAATAGACAACGGCAAAATATAGACATACTATAATTAAAAGTGCTTAGCGCGGTGGCGACGTTTTTAATATCTTATCTGGGTAACGGCTTGATTTTATTTAAACAGTAAATATAACACTTTACAAATTTACCAATTACACCGCAATCTCTATCTGGAGAGCTATAACTACCTCAAAATATTGTGTGAAAACCCTAAATAAAAATCAATGCAGCACTTTCCTTTCTAAAAAAAAAAAAGCAGAAGGAATTTTAAGGAAACTGCGTTCAAATTTACATATGTTTTAATTTTTCCGACTAACCAATTAGTGCGGATTTTCTAACGGGTTAGCATCGTTCCGACCGATTAATTGATTAACCGGTTACAAATTGTCATCCCTAGTATATATACACTATTCTTTTTACCAAATGCAGAGGACCTGTGTATCCTTTGGGTGCGCTGGTATGGTATTTTTTACTTTACTCTTAATTACTCTGAAATCTGAACTCCCACTTGATCTGCTACGGAGATTGTTTGTTTCTCACCAAGTGTGTTAGGGGTGTGTGTTTGTGTGTGTGTGTGTGGGGGGGGGGGGGGGCAAAGAATGAATCTTCATATAACTCTGCTTTCTCGCACTTTTTTAAATGCAGAATTTTACCTTTTCAAGTCATAACATTGTCATATGATAGCTAAAGTCGTGAAGCATAGTCTGTATAAATACAGAACATTTGAGAAAAAAATTTACTTCAATTATGTGTCTAAGCACCTTTAATAAATAGGTGCATTATAATCCTACAGACATCTCTATCGCCTCTTTACGTGACGTTATATTACAAAAAATGACGTTCCTAATGCATTTTTCCATCAAAACAATACCATATTACAAGATCTTGTTTTGAAAAAGTAAAATAGATATCGAAAAAAGAAAAACGGTTATGAAAAGCTTAAAGTCTACACTATCGATAATAAAAATCACGTTAATTTTGGGGATGAGGCCATATTTTATGGTTCGTGGATTAAACTCTTTGAAATTGGCAAATATTTAAAGGGCCCATGATTCTTCCCAATTTAATTTCTTTAAATATTTTTTCCCTGATTTCTACCTTGAAATCATTAGCCGAAATGAGATTTTTGGAAAACACATGAAATCGCGGACCTGAATAATGAATTCTGAAACCCTTAGTAAAACCTTCATACAATTCTACTGCTACTTTCTTTTTTGGATACCCAATTAGTAATTTTTTCAAAATGTCAGATTTAATTGGCGTTGTACCTAGGGCCCATCAATCGTTGACTGTTTGATCTAGTATTGTGTGCTCTAATATTTGGTCTGCTGAATCGTGCAGAGGGAAACCTGGGAAATAATCCTGTGTGGTTTTGTTGAGGCTGGCTTTGCATTTGGGTACGAAATCCCACAGAATTATTTACCGGACAGCTATAAAACGGGTGTGTACCGTTACACTTAATGCAAGTATGATTGTAGGTACACGGGAATTTGAAACAGCTACCCTTAAAATTGTAGTCATAACATTTCGAAGATGACATGCTTTGTCTGCCAGCTGGCCTTGATGCATGAATGTTTTCCGTTTCTTTACCAAGCATGCAAAGCAACCAAAGTTCTGAATCAACTACCCCCCAGCTACTTGTGGGATTTTTGCTCTTTTTGAGACGATACTGTTCGTCATAGCTTTTCCAGCCTAGTCCTCCGTGCCTCATAGCCCCAGCCCTTACTGTTTGCATATACTTTAATAAATCCACAGTCTTTGCTGGATGGGCAGTAACGTAAATCCCCATGTATATTATGAACGCGTCCGTCCACTTAGCTATATCATCTATCTTCTTTTCATTTTTTGTTTTAGTTACCAATTCCCCATTTTTGAAAACAATTGTTTTTTCTTGAGATTCTGTTAGATTTGTATTTGTTAATAATTGCGCCAAGTCCACATAATTTCCCGCAATTATTTTTTGCTTTAGATTTTCCGAAACATTGTAACCCAAACAATCATTAACGCTAATTATTGCATTTGGTAATTCTGAACAAGCTTCCTCTAAATTTTTTAAAACTTCCTCACCCGTGTTGTTTTCCTCTGCTTTGTCTTCTGGTGGGCAAACTTTCTGCTTTTTAGCTGCCGGGACTTCGATCTTTTCCCTCAACCCTTGCTTTCCTCTACCAGTTGTCACTTTCGTCCTCTCCACAACGGATTGCTTTCTTGCTCTCAACATATTGGTCTGTTAATGTTTTGTCGATTTTTTTGTCGAAAAATCATAAAAGAAAAACAGCGTCAACCAAATGTTATGATTACCAAATACAATCGATATGTCAAGGGTTTAAAAAAACGCCTTCCCAAACACTGGAACATTTTGCAAACAGACACAATTTGCAAAGAGTTATTTATCGATGAACCAATAATCGCATACAGTAAACACAAAAACATAGGCGAAATGATAATTAAGTCACGCTTACAATAGCTTAAGACTAATACTCAAGGTCGGGCTCCTGATGATGGCGGGCCTTAAGAGCAAAAAATCATATTTCTCTTTAAAAACCGCCGAAACACTCTATGCCTCCATAATAACAATTTATTGAAAAAATCATAAGTGGTCAAGAGTGTCGAGCCCTGCTAAATTTATGACAGGCTTGGTTGATTGATGTCTTTTTTCAAAATCAATCAGAATAAAAAGATTTTTTATTAAACTAGTCTTGTTAAGAAGAGCAAGTCCATGATTTGTCATTGTTCTGTAGAAGCATTCTCTAGTAATTTAGATTCAAGTTTATTCAAGTCATGACTTCCTCCCCCGGGGTTGCAGGATGGGGCCACAATGGGGGATCAAAGTTCTTCAGGGTAATATATAACTTTTTAAAAATATTTCCTCAAGAATTGTTCATATTGATATTGAAGCATCTCCAGGTAGTGTAGATTCAAGTTTGGTGGGTCACAATGGGGGATCAAAGTTTTACATAGGAATAATTTGGGAAAAGACTTTTTCTCAAGAACAGAAAAGCCATAATTAAAAAATTACTTATATTGATGTGGAAACTTGGGTAGTGTAGAATCAATTTTATTCAAATGAGGGCCCACGTGGGTTGGGCTGGGCCATAATCATGGGCTGGGCTGGAACCAATACAATTGAATAAATAGGAAAACAATCTTCTGTTCATGAATAGCAAATCCATTTGTTATATTGATATGGAAAGATCAACAGATCGTTTCATATCAAAGTCTCACCCTTCGAAGTTTCCCCATGAAAACTTTTTAATGCTGAACTGAGTTTTGCTTCTTTATCGCCAATGTGCTCAGGTGAGCAATGTGGCCCATGGTCCTCTTGTTTGTTATTAAACAACTTGTAAGTGCCTTTGTCCAATGACCAATTTGAATGCAATTTGGCAAGGTTATTTTGTATGTTTTCGTGCATTTTGAGCATGTTGGCTACAGATACTTGCATATATAGTGTTTAAATTGGAGTTGGCGTTTGGCTTCTAAGACAAACTGGTACTTGTTCATGATGACAGCTTTGTTGCTTTCATCTGTTTTTTAACACTGTCATTGTTATATTTTTAAGAGATAAAATAGCATCTTTTTGTAATCTATTTCTTTTTCTTTCTTTTTTTTTTTACAATTTCCATGAAGGGAAGTTCCAAATTTTGTTTTATCTATTACAGTATACAGAGAAATATTCGCCCCTTTCGCCCTTATCTTGTTTGGGCGAAATTAAAAAGGGATAAATTCAAAGAATACATTATAATTTCGTACACAAAAATGATACTGGGCAAATTTCAAATGGGGCAAAATTGTTTGCAAAAGTGAAAGAGCGAAAATAAAGCAGGGCAAAAATAACCCTGTATACAGTAATCCTCGAGTTTGTTGAATGCAAATTGCGGGTTGACGCAAGACTTTGTTTCAAAGGGGTGATTGCCATGTATTTGAATGAGTTCTAAGCCTCAGTCTTTGCTTAGTAAGAAGATTTCATGTTTGGCTAAGTTGTAGCTTGCTAGATTAAGAATGTGAAAATTAGAGACATCAATCAACCAGACTTGTAAGGGATTTATTGAGACCTAACACTCCAGATTAAACAGCACTACAGTAGATAGTGGATATAAAATAAAGTTTTGTAGATCACTGCATTTAAACCTTGCATTAAAGGACTTAGAAAACAAATACTGAAATATTGTTTTAGTATTCTATGAATGTGGGTTGGAGTATCGGGGCCTTATAACTTTTTGGCAAGTTTGGTTGATTGACATCGCTAAATTTCATATGCAACGGGATCAAAAGAATAAAAATTCAATTTGCATTATTAATTATTCCGAATCAAAACCTGACTCCATTTATTATTTGTCTCTATCAATTGTTTGAGAGAGCGAGAGAGAGAGAGAGAGAGAGAGAGAGAGAGAGAGGTTGTACAGTTATAGAAAAATCTCAAGAATATCAATATTAATTAAGAAAGAAAAAGCAAACGAACTGTGGGGATATTGATTGTTGTTTATTAGTAATTAACATTAAGCAAATATAATTATTCAATTCTTTCCTTGACATATATCCTTTGGAGGTTCATATGTGTCTTTTATCCTCAGTAACAGGTACCTAGGAGAAAATTCAAAGATTTTTTTTACGTTTAAAATGGTATTTGTCAGTAAAGTCATTCCAATGATGCATTTCTTGCTAAAGCATTTTTTGGTCAAGAATTCAACACAGAGTGGTTTTAAGATCATATTTTAGAAAAATAAAGTTGCCCACAGATTTTCAAATTCTAGAAACGTATTCCTTAAATGATAATTTGTAGTAATAGTTTGATAAATCAATGTGTATCAAGGCGTTATTTTTAGGGATCAGATAGAACAATAAATAAAAAAAAACTACGATTTTGATTAAAAAATAAAGAGAAACAAATTCGTATAAGTCTGGAAATTTAGCCTTTACCAACACAGAAAGTGTTTCCAAATTACCTTCAATCTCTCAATAAACGGCTATTTATTTCCTTTCATACTTTCTTCAAAATGTTCAATTGAATGAAGCTAATGTGATTACTTTTGGCATGATATCCGGTTAATTTTGCATTGAAAGTATTCATTAATTCAATTTTATTTATAAGGTACATAAAAATTAGTTTAAATTATTTTGAGTGTGAATTTATTATGAAGTAACAATACGTCTAAGATCATATGGAGAAGACTGCACATATTTAATTCTTAAACCGGATTCGTTAATTTTCAAAGTTTACTTGTAGGTCTGAGAATCAAAAAATTTACAAAACAGAAACGATAAACAGAACTCTCTATTTCTCTCCCCCCCCCCTCTCTCTCTCTCTCTCTCTCTCTCTCTCTCTCTCTCTCTCTCTCTCTCTCTAAGTGTGATAATATATAAATTTATCATATACGTGCAGAAAATAATCAGTCAATATTTGAAAAAAAAATTACCATGATTATATTTTCAACTCCTTATGCACTCGAAATCTCAAACGTGAATAAAGGTCTGGTACACCATTGATGACAAAAGAAAAAAAGTGTGAGCACAACAATACTCCTCGATATTCGGGTCTTCATTGTGACTCTGTGCTTCGATGACTATGAGCACAAAAGTCAGCACAAACAAAATGACGAATTTCATCACCTTCATCTGAATAAATGATATTAATAATGATATGCTGAGAATTGAAATCAAAATATATAGAATCAATGAATAGTAATATTGGCAATTAAATTGAAAATAACACTTATTAAGTTAACCAAAGAGTCTATTCCTTTACATAAAAAAAGTACACAGATATTAATTGGAGCAATTACATGAATAACAAGTATTACGTGTCATGAGGTAGAATTTTTATTTGTTGATTTTTTTTATTTATTAGATCTTTGTTAATGCATTTGAAAACCGCTCGCCCAATCACAACTTTATTTTATACAATTTAATATTATAACAATGATATATTTATCCTTTCGATTTTCTTGAGTAAATTTGAAAAAAAGACCTTGACAGTAGAGTCATTGCTTGTCTAGTGGTTCTTGTGCTTAAGCATTAATACAATGAAAATTTCAAAGTTTGCTACAAGTCAGTGTACTATGTAGTGATATGCAGTGATAAATAGTGTTTTTGTCACAGACCTCCAATATTGCGGGAAAACATTTTTATTCTAAAATAGTTTTGCTTGGCTGTTAATCTAATGATACAGGTCTTCAAGATGCTGATTTACTTAAAAGTCTGCTTAGAACAAAATAACTGGATGTTTTTAAACCTAGAAAATTACTGATCCATATTAATGTCCCTATAAAAACATTCTTTCAAAAGATATTGTTGCATTTGGTATGAATTTGAATTTAATAGTTTTTTTTACAAAAATTATGAGATCATTAGGAGGATGGAAACACTTTAAGCTGCCAATAAACCACCAGGCTGCAGCTTAATGGCGGCTTAATATCCAAACTGGTTTCATTATCAATTTCATTTCGTACAAAAATAAAAAAAAAATTAATCAAAATGTAAATTAATGCTGAAGCTTAATTAAACCACCCCCTACGCATCCTTTTTTAAGTCTTTAAACTAACTCGTTAAGTTTAAAGTACATGTATATTTCAATATCTTTTGCGCAAATTCTTATTCAATTCATAATCATCCGTTTAATTATAAGATTTTTTGTCAATGCGTATAAACTTGGACACTGGGAACAGCTGCAATTTCTTTCTTTTTTTTGTTTTTGTTTTAAAAATCAGTTGAAATACTTGTTTCAAATTGCTTTTATCCATGAACACATGATTAATATTAACAGATCCGTAAAAGAAACACAACATACATGTCACAATATGGGGGGGGGGGGTATTATATGCAGGTCTTAACTTTGTACTTAAAAAGTGAGGACTTCTTCCGCATATCCAATGCAAATCAGTAATTTGATTAACGGTGATCATTCTCATTCTATTACTGGAAATTGATTTTGAATCCTCTTTAAATTTTTGAAAATTCATGTTT